CCCACCTCTGCTGATGGCTGGTTGCGGAACCTTGGGCACGTTAATGAACTCCTCTGTGCCTCAGCTTCCTCGCCTGCAAAGTGGGGGGTAATACCGTGTATCTGCCTCACATGGCTGTTGGGAGAGTTACGGGCGTTACCTGGGGAAAACCTTTGGGGACAGTCTGTGCCACAGTGTCCACTCCTCCACATGTGCACAGCTGTCAAAGCACAGCCCTAACCACTACCCTGTCATCCCATTGGAGAGGGGAGAGGACAGGGATTCTGGTGCTATGACACCCATTTTATTGACAGGAAACTAGAAGGCAAATCTCCTTCGTGGGAGGAGGGACAGTCACGACTAGCGTCCTGACTCCCAAGAAAGGTCCTCTTTTTAGCACCCCTTTATCTAATTCCGGGCCTGTCCCCAGTGTCAAAGCCTGACAGGATTGGGCAATGAAGTTGGGGCTCCGGCAACCCCAGCCGCAGGACCTGAGCTGGCTCCCTCCCGTTCCGATGGATAGGAGGCCACAGAGGGGCCCTATGGGCCATCCAGGGACAGCGTCTCAGCGAGGGAAGGGGCCTGAGACACCACCAGTCCCGGGGCGCTAGGAAGGGTGCGTGCCTGGGCATGGGGTGGCTGATGGGGACACTGAGGGTGCTGGGCCCTGGGCAGCAGCCTTCCTCCATCCCAGAGCTCGTTGCTCCGGTGATGGGCGCTATGGAAACAAGGGAGGCGTGTGTGGAGGAAGGGTGGGGAGGCGGGGAGCCCCACTCCGCACCCCCCCGCAGATCAGTTTCCGCCCTTGGGTACCGCTCCCCATATCTTCCAGGTGTAGCAAAGGTGCCCAGAGGGGCAGGCAGAGATCTCTAGGCTGCAAAGTAGGAAAAGGGAAAGGCGGGAGAAGGGGCGGGGAAGGAGGAGTGTGGCTGTCCAAGGTCCTGAACCTGGGAACCGAGCTGGGGTGGGCGAGCGGGGAGTTCCCTTCCTCACAAGGACCACCCCCCTCCTCCTGCCTCACCTCCCTCGAACACAGACGCGCCACGATTTGGGGGCGCGTGACCTTAATCTAAACTAGGTCCTGCCGAAGTCTGATCTGCTCTCCCTCCCTCCCTCTCTTTTTCCTGGGGGAAGGGGGTGCTGGAATGTCCGGGAGCGACTCCCGAGCGCCTGGCCACTTCCCGACCTCCGCGTCTCGGATACCGCCAACCGCGCCCCCAGCCCGCAGAGCCCTGCCCGGGAACGGGCCGCTCTCAAGGCCTCTCCTCCGTTTTGCACACGAAGAGCCTTTCGTGCCTCCGGTCACACCCCTTACCTTGGCCCCCCGCACTCTGGGCCCTCTCCCCGCCTCCCCTCGCGGGGCACTCTCTGTGCTGTTCCTCTACCGCGGCTTCGGGAGCTCCGACCTAGACCCTCCACCCCACTCTCCCTTCCCGCCTCGGGTCCAGAAGACCAAGCCGGCCCCGAAGGAGTCTTGGCCCCCAGCAGGAGCCCCCGGCCCCAGCCTCGGCCCCACTCACGCGTGCCGTCGAAGCGGGTGGCGATAGTGTCCAGGAAGGTGTTTTGCGGGGCCAGCAACCCCTTCATGACCGGCATGGCTCGGGGGCGCGAGTTGGAGGCGCGGAGCCGAGGGCGGTCAGCTCGGCCGGGCCCCAGGGGGCGCGCTGCCGGCGGGCCGGGGCGCCCCATGCGCGGGCTGCCTCCTACCCTCCCTCTCACGCCGCCGCTCTGCTCCGAAACCCTCGCTTTCGGCTCGGCGGGGCGCCGCTTCGGCGGACTTCTTTTCCCCGCGGGCCA